CTTCGCAGGAAAGGATGAACAATTTGCATCCGTGGATTTGAGAAGAGTAAATTCCATCCGGGTTTATGTAGCAAGTTGCTATTTCTGTGGATATGACAGTGTGGCTCATATTTGCGGAGCTATTACAGCCGTGGGTTTTCTCATATCACATTTGGAAAGTGCTGTGTTGCCGGACATCAATGCACCATGTTTTGTGTGGGTCAAATAATGGAATGTGGATTTCTGTTGTTCAAAATATTATCAAATCAAGAGAAACATATCAAATTCATCACACAGGATGATTGCAAATCATAACAACAATCAGAACATAAAATCAAATGATTTGATAAGCAACAAGGACATCATAGTTTGTCATGGCTCACCAATCAACTTATGATTGGTTTCACATAACCCACACCAATTGCTTTGCGGCAAGACCTCACATAACTCTAATTGTCCATTCTGCTAATGAAACTCCCATAACCCTCTTCAATCAAGTTAGGAACTCAACATCTTGACTGTTTTTGCGATTTTTTTATTGATTCAGTGAGTTTTGATTTCAATGTGGCGCTTTGATGCTGCAAAGGAAACTTAAGTCTCTACCTTATGTTGTATCTTCTTGTAGAAATGTCTCCGCCAACCAAGCTGCCACTACCACTCAAAGCCTTATCCGCAATAAGCACCAGCTCTGCTAACCGGGCTAGAATGGTCACCAACACTGTGAATTTAGTTAGCCACCTCCTCAATCAACCACCTCCTAATGGGCCATGCAAAGGTGGAGGATCACTTCCGGGCAAAGCACCCAATGTTGACCGAGGTCATATCAAGGCTCACAAACATATTTGGGCCAACCACTTTGCCAATCCGCCCAAATAGAATGAACAGCTCTTTTGTTGATGTTTCTGCATGGGACACAACCTGTTAAGTTAGGATGAGCTAGCATACAAGACTGTTATAACCATGTGAGAAAAAGTATGGAACATGATCTAGTGGAGCATTAAGTGAATTCCAGTGTTCTTTGTTTACAATAATCTTTTGATCATATCTAGCTTACAATTCCTTTTCTGTATCTATTTACCTTTGTCAACTTGTTGGTAAGTGTTTCATCTTGCTATGGTTCAATGGTTTGATTCTGAAGATGAGTTCACAGCTTAATGAATATTCTGTTACTTCAAGTTTTTTTTTCATTTCATTTGTTATGAGTTTCTGAAAGTATAACTCATATTGAAGCATGTGATACTACACAGTGGTTGGGGGCCAGGGTACATGTATATATACAAGGACTCCTCTACCATTTCAAGCCTATATATAACAATATATAGGCTTCAACTGGCTTCACATGACTCAAAGTTTTAGGAATTGGATATGAAATTCATCATGGAGTTGATTCTATAAAGGCTTGCATCTCTATCCATTTACCTTGAGTATCAATTCAAGTTTGTTGGTTCAAGTCTCTTTTGGTGGGCCAGCCTTGAAGATCTAAATCAGAGGTCACAGTGACCTAGGGGTTGAGTGACAATCCAGATTTTTTGATTGTGGACTCTTCTGCTCGACTCTCTCAGCAGGCTAAACACTTATGATTGTGATGAACTATTGGAACAGACTTGTATATCCAGATCCTTAAATGTTTGCCTTTTTGAGAACAATAACAATACAATTGTAGGAGTTTCCTGTTGTGGTTAAGATTTATGTGTTTCGATTTGAAGCTGTGAAGCGTGGTATAAGTAATGCTCGGAAATCAGTATGACACAGTCCTCGTTAGTATATCGGCTAGTATGGCCGCCTTTCATGCTCGAAGTGCGCGGTAGAGACGGGTTCGATTCCCGTACGGGGAAGACGCTTTTTGCGCCCTACAGCCAATGCTTTTTGCGGCCTACAGCCAATGCTTGTTGGTGAGTAATCGAAGCCAAAGACCGGTTCAGGAACTTTGAAATCCACGTGATCCTACATTTCTTGACTTGATGAGGAGCCAAAATGGCTTCTGAAAATTAATTTTTTAGAACAATAGAAGGACAGCCATGTTCAGGTAGGTGTGGAAAACAGTGCACATTTGCCTGTCTCACTCAGTTGGAATAACTTGGATCCACAGGGTTTGTCCATTCCCAACCAGAATGTGGGATGTTATAATTTTCTGTACAAGTAAAATCAGCTTACTCATGACACTTAAGTATGAGTGTTGAGCACAGAATATATTTCCCATATCTTACTAACTGGTCAGAAATGTATGGTTTTACTACTACTAGTTATGAAATCTGAATGATAATCATAAATGAATTAACTGGTGTTTTGTAAGAGATTGACACATGATCATTATTGGAGCCTGAGGATCATCTCCCTTTCAAGTTCCCATCTTGCTCCACTTCATGAACCCAAAAAACGCAAAAAAAAAAGTATTTTGCCCAGCAAACCACTTTCAAAAAAGAAATCCAACCATCATTAAAACAGCTATATTAGTAATCAGAATGCATTTTCCTGGTTCTGAAACCCATTCCGATTTTTTTATTTTTTTTCCTTCAAATTCCAAAATTCCAAAAAAAATAAAATAAACCATTCACATATTAAAAAGAAAAAAATAATTCAAAATTCAAAATTCAAAAAAAAAGATTTTCTATATCCTATATATATGTATATACTGTTTTTTTTCATCTTCAACTAAACCTTCCTCCATTCAAACCCATTCAAAACATTTCAACAAAGAAAACAAAAAAAAAGACTGATATAAAACCAAAAAAAAAAGAAAACGGATAAAACCAAAAAAAGATCAACAAAAAAAAACAATACAAAAAGAAAAACTTCATGTGTTTAATAAAGAGATCAAAAGATATAGATATCAAAGTAAAAAAAAAAGATGTCTCAACATGTTAAAAAATGATTGTAAAAAAAAAGACAGGAATCCAAAAAAGAGCATGTGTGATGACTTTAAATAAATGGAGAAGAAAAGAAAAAAAAAAGAAAATTTCCTTCCTTTCAAAGTTCTAGGTATATATATACTTATCAAATTTAACTTGACTTTCAAAAAAACGAGCAAACCAAAATAAGCAACCCAAAAAAAACCCATTCAATCATCCAAACAAAAAAAATTCCTAACCTTAAACTTAAACAAGAATGATTTAAGATTCAGATCCCAAGCGCATCAACTCTCAAGTTCCCCAATCCCATCTTCCACAAACTGTAAAGCCGTGATGCCATCCCTCATCAACCCTTCATCATCATCCAAACCAACACTGATCTCTTCATCTTCAAGTCCTCCATTCAAATCCCCCAATCCTCCAAACTCATCATCATTCAACGTTCCGAATCCGATATTAAAGGGGATCCCTTCCAGGACCGATCCATAGCCACTCCTAATCGAAATAGACGTCGAGACGACCGAAGCTCTTATATCGGATCCTTCAGCTGTTCCAGCCCCTCCTCCTCCTCCGAGAAACGGTCGACTAGGTTCTCTTAATGAGTTTCGATCAATTACTCTTTCTTGATTGATCAATGAACTTAATGAGATCCTACTCAAAGGAGCTTGTAAAACTGATAATCTAGGTGTACCAGTCCCTCGATGGGTCAAAGATGACAAATCATCCGGTATCATCCTTGCTGTACTCACAATCGCCGGTCCTTCATCCATAAAACTTTCTTCTCCAATACTACTGGTAGCCATCGAAGACCGTGAAACGATCGATGGTGAACTCATAAATCGACTGTTCACCCTTGGAGTAATAATGCTAGATGGTACTCTTGATTGTTGATTCTCTTGGGTATTCATAACAAGACCTTCAACTATGATCTCAGTGTTAGGTTGATTGTCTATGATGGCTCTTTGATGAGTGAGATTGAGACTATTCGAGTTGATCTGTGATTGGCCTACAACAGCGAGAGTGGAGTGAGTACGATCCAGGGTATGGTCTGAACGGACAGAGAGACTACTACCATGACCATCATCGGCAATGGTCACAGTGCTTGCATTACTGTAAATGCTCGGTGTCTCATGACTGAGAGTAGAATGATTCATCTCAGGGTGCGTCAGAAGTGAGTTCCACTCGGGAGACATTTTCTCTTGACTGTTCTTAGATGAGACGAGGTCTTGAACCGCAGCCGAATCTGCAAACGGATCACCAGAAGATGATGATAGAGATGGAGAGGTTTGAGGATTTGATTGGGATTGGGATTGGTTCTGATCCTGATTTTGATCCATGATAACTGAATTGAGTGAAGCCTGAGGTTGCAAGGCACGCCTGGTGATAGGGGGAGAATTGGCAAGTGTCATGAGTGACTCTTTAGGACTGTCGATCGGTGATAAAGTTTGTGTGGGCACATTAGAAGGAAGAGGTGGTTGTTGATGATGTGACGCTGTACTGGCACTTCGGTTGAGTCTGACTACACGTGCCTTCTCTTGACCTCGAAGTGCGACTCGTTGGACTGCTGCTTGTCGACCTGATGCGGTTCGGACCAAAGTGACTGGAGTAACAATCATAGCCGGATCAAGGATACTACTGAGACGACTGTCATGTGAGGTAGCTTCGGAAACATTCGACATTGGCCTAAGTTGGTTTTGATGGAATGAATGATGACTCGAATCAAGTGAAAGACGAGATCCAATGGGCATTCCATCTGTTGAGCCATAATTCGGACGAGACAGAGCAGGCGAGGCAAGATTTGGCATAGGTGGAGGTTGACTCCAACGTCCAACACTGGCAGCCGTAGTGGAAGCAACAGAATGTCGAGTGAAGGTGGTATCGGCTGAGAATCTACTACTAACCAATCCTAATTCAGGTACAAGTGAGGATGTTTGGCTATCTTTACGAGCCAGATGAGACGGTTGTGATGTACTTCCAGATTGAGAAGCAGCTGTCGGTAAACAGAGATCGAGACCAGGTGCACGAGGAGGACGGATAGGTCTCAAGTGAGTCCCGTTACTACTTGGAGCTGGATGAGATAGACCAGGGGTTTGATGGGTCAGGAAAGACGATTTTGATGCAGAAGCAGCCGAAGGAGAATGATGAGGTGATCTTTGATGGTCAGATGGATCGATCAAGATTAAATTAGACGATTTCCTCCTGAGAGCTGGATCTAAGGCTGAACCGGGTGTCGAAGGAGAGAGAACGCCAGGAGAAGTATTACCAAGCCCATCACGATCTTCTACATCTTGAATCGAAAGTGATTTTGAGTTTTGAGGGATATATGCATTGACAGGAACAGATGAAGTTGAAAGGAAGTTTGAATTAAGACCAAAGAGATTAGATTCGTTACCCATTAAAGGACTGTTGACATTAGCGATTGGTGGAAGTTGACGATGAGCCGAGGTGGTAGAATTCCGATCTGAGAATGGATCGTCTGCCATCAAGTGATGATTAAGAAAAGTTCAGGATGATGAACAAAGCAAAGAAAGAACAGCAGCAGTTTGATTAGCTTTCTTAGGGTTGAAGTGAGATGAAAATAAAGACTGACCTTGAATGATAAGAGGAGAGTTTTGATGATGATTGCTAATATTAAGACTAAGTGAATCTAGTCGGTTTGAATCAGATTGAAGATGATCCGAAGGAATAATGTTCATGAGATGATTAGAATTCCGTTGATTAAGGATGGCTTCACTAATCCTCCTAGCAGAAGCAGAAGCGGTTTTTTGATGAGCTAGAGTAGGTTGAAGATTTGAAGGTGAAGTTGTTTGATTGATTTGATTTGGATTGAATGATTTTGATTTGCGATCGATAGCTGTAGATGTAGTAGTATAAAGAGGTCTTTGATGAGATTTCCGACGAGAAGAAGCAGGAGAAGAAGAACTGAATCGATTAGATAAGAATCGATTCAAGAGACCACGTTTATAAAGAAACCAAATCAAACCGATTAAAGCTAATGAACCTAATACACCACCTAATGAAGCACCAATGATTGAAGCTAATGAAGCAGTAGAAGAAGGACTATGAGAAGTACCTGAATCGATACAAATGTTACGAGGACAATTGAAGCAATCTCTTGAAGTTTGTACACAAGTTTGAGTTGATTTGCAATCACATGGTGAAGGTGGAGTATTACATGAGACACAGTTCGACATAATGATGATGATGAAAATGAAGATTATGAAAAATAAAAATCAGAAAAAGATGAAGATTTGAAATCAATTCAAGAGTCTAAGTTGATAAGTTGATAAACGAAAGTGAAGTGTAAACTGAAATCGAATTGGAATCTTAAATCGAAATGGTGATTGAATGATGAATGATGAAATGATAGTTGCTTGATAAGTTGAAGTGAATGTGAATGTGAATGATAAGTTAGTAATAGTAGTAGTGTGAGTGTGATTGCTGTGAGTGTGAGTGTGAGTGTGGTTGATTGATGATATCTTTCTTTGAAGTGAGTAAGTAAACTTGTTGTTGTTGAACTGTTGGATAAGCTTGGCTTGGCTTGAATGGTTCGAACTTCAAATCTTAGAATGTGAATCATTAAAAAATTAAAATTAAACTTTCAAATTTCAAATTCAAATCAAACAACTTAAACTTAAACCTTCAATTTATCTCACTTAAGCTCTAAATTCACTTGATCTCTCATCTCATAAATTCTTTATCGATTTGGTGATTTTTTTCAATCAGGTTGTATCCATCTCTCAAACTACCTTTCTTTATATCTCAGGTTGATGATTCCAAATGACTCTCTCGAGATGGTGGCTCCTCGGTTGGCATGTATTAGGGAAACATATCCTTAGCAGGCAGAGGCGGACACACCCACCGCAGTAGCTGAAGCTTCAAGTTCTAATATGTGTAGGTTCAACAATAAATATGAATATTATCATAATGAGACTGTGCTTATATACATATACCATTCTTAGATTACGTGTTTTTATTATGACAATCCATTATATATTTGCCTACAACAACCTTTGAATCTCAGTGGAGTGAGTAACAGCTCAAAGTATCAACATTGCCATTGGGCCTTGGTTGGGGGACTATGGAAGATATCATTTTACGACTCAACTTAAGGCAGCTACCAAATCATCTTTGCTGAAGCAATGATCTCTCAAGGGCCTCATCCAAACATTGTGTAAAGCTGTCAGTATTCTTTTGATTTTGCTATAGATATCTAGGACAAGTGTGTTCTCAAGAAGTTTGTGGCTTCCAAAATCCAAGACAAAAAGCTGAAGGCATTGACACCTAACTTTATACATTACAGGATAAAACTTTAAAATTGTATGTGTTTCACTACATGGAATTTGTTTCATACTTGTTCTTGTAACAACAAATAAGTTTCAACTTTTTATCTTTGGATTTTGGAGAAACAAACACTATGTACCAGCACAAAGTAATCTTCTTGCAGAAAAAATTGATTAGATTTTATTGATGCATATCATAATCAAAAATTCAAATTTAAGTTAGAATAATGCTAATTTATTGCATTTTCAATCATTTGTTACTCTATGTAAATGCCATCATTTTTTTGCTTTTTCCATAGGAAAGTTACTTTAGGCTGGTAGTGAAACTTCTTAGGCATGCATGTATGTATCTGTCTGCAAACACAACCAATAGAGTTGAATTACTACAAGTTTTCCAGAGGTGTATTGTGTGTGTCTCAGCCCATACTATTCCTCTTTTCTCAGAGACTTTCAGATAGTCCTTCCTTCCAGCCTTTAGTTTGAACTGTGCACACTTGGCACAGTGTAAGGACTTCTTATGTCCTCACTGAAGGACGTAGAGAAGGAAGGGGCACGTTGGGACTCGACACCACGATAGTGGTGGAAATGGTTTCTAGAACCAAAGTACACGAATTTGCTTTACAAACTGACTCCAAGGAGACAATGACAAAAGGTCAGTCAAAGAACCTTAAGGTACAAGAAAGATGATAATAGATGAAAAGAGAAAATGTATATAAGCGTACCTGACTCCAAGGAGACAATGACAAAAGGTCAGTCAAAGAACCTTAAGGAGTCAGGATGAAAACGGTGTTGAGAAAGAGAGATATAGAGAGTTAAGTCCTAAGTCTAAGGTATGTTAAGTAAGGTAGTAGACTTCTGTAATATCGAGTGACATGAGATGTTACACACAGATCAAGATACCATTTCCAAAACATGTTGCTGGGTTGCCTACCCAGCTTCCACACAGCCAACAAAGATGCCTTGGATTGAAAAATCTGAGGTATCACCAGACTCAAATCCTCGGACAAGACCTGTCCAAGGGTTTCCATTCAAAGATGCCTCAGATTTTTCAATCTGAGGCATCTATGTTGGTGGTGCCATCTGTGGCCTCAATGTCTGGGCTGAACTGTCTGGCTTCAAAGGCTTCAAAGGCTTCCAAGTTCCAGGACACATTTCCACCCCATCAAATCTGCCCTTATGGCAGCAGGAAGTGCCTGTTTTTCTGACAAGACCTTCCACTCCTTTTTCCATTGGTATAAAGGTGGTAAATAGCAATGGAGGTTGGGTGCTATGTCAGTAGTATGGACTAATTGTCCCAAAAACTTCTCTGTCTCCTTAAAGTTGAAGGACTCCTTTGGATTTAGGAAACGATTTTCATCTCCTTCATCTTCTCAGAAAAAAGTTTCACTGTCCCCTTGGGTGTATTCAATATAAATCCAATATAGTTCTGTTTGTCACTGGATTTGTGGAATTTCTTGATGTTTGACACTACACCAATTAAGTCACTGAGTGAAACTTTGTCTGCTTTAGTTTTCTGGGTTGTGACATCTTTAATCAGCAGATCATTGTCCACCCAACAACACATAGCTTCTAAGTCAAAAAGGACTACAGCTATCTTTTTTCATAGATCAGCCGGACAACTAAAGACACCACACCCTGTGACACCTTGGAACTGGACACAAGAGTCCAATCACAAGTTATTGTCAAGATACATAATGAAGAGGTATCACCATTGGTCAGGATGGGTTGGGATTTGGTGGTAAGCCATTTCTCAGTCAAAGATAACAAGAAAATATTGTCCCTTCTCATTATGAAAGAATTGTACAAAGACCTTAATTGTCACAGTCAGTATCAACCTCTTTTTTATTTACGAAACTATTCACAGATGGTGTGAGGGAGGAGTTCTGGGGGAATGACATGTTGTTTATGATTATGATCTTAAAGGAGCCATATCTGTTGATGACACCTCCTACAGGAATAGATCAAAAGAAAGTAATCTTTTGGAATACTTCTTTGTGAGTAGATGGACCAAATGCCCTCCCTTCATGGTGCTCCCTAGCTATAATGTGCTCTTGATTTTCTTGATTGCAGTGTGAATGGACTGGTGATTCTCAGGTGAGCTACCTCTGGTATCCTAAGGTATGGATCAAAATCCCCTGATGCAAACCCTTGATCAAGCCAGTGATCACCTCTTCAGCCTCCTGACTAAGAGTAAGACTGCATTCTGCCTCCATTGCTGACCATTCTGATATTTTCATAACACAAGTAACCACCTCACTAGGCAACCAACTGTCAAACAATGCTCCCGAGTTTACATAAAGTTTCAATTAAAGAGTGTTGACTAAGATGGCTGCCTCCAAATCAACAGCTGGAGTAGCAGATGTGTCTTCTAACTTTTCTTTGCTCACAGCTGGGTTGTCATCCACCACTATTCTGGTTTGTTTCTCTTTACTTTGTGTGGCACTAGCAAAGGGTGCAAAGGTCAAGTTTAGATACTGATTCAAGAAGGTGTGGTTTGCATTTCTGCCCCGCTAAATAAGCGCAAAGAAAATAGAGAGACACAATTGGGGTCACTCATATGGGACCTGTTTATGTGTATATGATCAACATGGATTTGGAATAGAACACGGGATCTTGAGAGAAACAAAGACATGAGGAAATAGTGGCCTTGAAGGAGACATGGAATAAACCAGGACTATGACAAACAAAACCCTAAGATCGCCCTTTTGAAGTGTGAGTGATGGGAAAAGGTAACAATTCGAAGTGCATAACCAAAATTTCAGATTGTAATGGCTCACTTTGCCTCTCTAGAAGGTCAGGCTTTGTCTCTGTCATCAGCTTGACAATCATCATGTTGGGCATCTCTCAGCCAAGTACATATCACCATTCCCATTGAATCAGCTATGATGTTGGGCCCGGGGGCTTTGATTCCTACAGTTTTCGCTTCAATTTCAACTCACTTTTGAACTCTGAACCGGTGATTGTGGAACTCGGCTTTGTGATCTTCACCATGGGTGGGGAAATGAAGCCACCAGGACCATCATAGACAGGTTATATAATATCATAGTGAAGGAATTTTGCTGTGAAAAGCTTTGTGTCAGAAGTCAACGCGCTCCCAGCCTGACTGATCATTTTATCAGTTCCTTGTGAGTTTGAACGCGGTTTACCAAAGGAAGTAGGTGGGCTGGATTTACAAGAGTTCGTGAAATTCAAAAGACCTTCACATTTGTTTTATTCTATCATCTTCTTTGAAGATCTTTATGACGTTTGGTAAAGAACTTGGAACGGGTTTCAAGAAAACATCTGTTGTTGTAAATATTCCGTTCATGGCTTTTTACAATTGCCTCTTTGCCATGATATTGCTCAGCGGATGTAATGTGAAGTATGATTTGTTGAGGGTTCTAGCCATCAAAAAATCTTACTGACAACTTGCTCGTTCAGTTGATACTCCTTATTCCTATTCAATGTGTCGGCTACCTCTTTCGCGAACGAAGAGATTGCAACGGTGAGGAAGATTCCACATAGATAGGCGAAAAAGACTATGAGTGATGCTCCTTGACAGGGGTGTTCGCTTTTTGCAGCAGAAGTGTATGAAAAGTCAGGAGAAGAGAGGAAGTGAAATTGATAAAGTACAATATGAAGATGTCCGATTGATGTGAACCTCTTCACTTGTATGATACGATACATAAATGCTGATAAGATGACTTGAGTCATGCATGTCAATCAATTCAAGTGCACTCATAATCAAAACCAAGCTTCATCAGTTGAGTTCTTACTTCGATCGTATGTACTTTTTGATGAGTCGGATGTCGACAGTCGAACAAAGAAAAAAGGAGAACCAGATGATACAGTTTCAGTTCCAATCGATTTCGAAAATTTTCAACCATGATAAAAATCTGCAAACCGACCTGGGAACTGAAGCTCTCATATCACCATCATACCTTCAAATGAAGATTTGACTTTTAACTTCTGACGACCGAAGCTAAAATCCCTACTTGAAGAATCATGAATTCAAATCAAAACGAAGATAAACAGGATGGATTCAATCAAGCTAAAGCAAATATCTTCGTTCCATCAATACCTATTCCAGCCGAAACGATTTCAATCAACGGTCCAGATTTTAATCATGGATTAGACTTAAATCAATTACTGGAATCTTATCAAAAAGTTGGATTTCAAGCTACAAGTTTACATCAATCAATCGAAATCATCAACAAAATGGTAAGTCTTTAAAAAACATTTAACTCAAAAATCAAAAAATATCAAAAAAAAGGTTCAATATCCAACTAATCTTTGATACAATCTTCTTTTTAGCGTCAATGGAGATTATCAGATGACGATCCAAGCATAACTCGAGATTCACCTGAAGACGAAAAAACCAAAATCTTCCTAGGTTTCACCTCGAATTTAATTTCATCAGGTTTACGAGAAATCATCAAATTCTTAACCGAACATTCTTACATCTCAGTGATCGTCACCACAGCAGGAGGTATAGAAGAAGACATTATTAAATGTTTAGGTTCGACTTATTTATCTTCATTTGATCAAAACTCAGGTTCAGCTTTACGTAAATCAGGTTTAAATCGAATAGGTAATTTAATCGTACCTAATGAGAATTATTGTAAATTTGAAGATTGGGTGATACCTATTTTAAATCGAATGAGAGAAGAACAAATTCAAGATAAAATTAATTGGACTCCTTCTAAAGTGATTGAAAGACTTGGGATTGAAATTAATGATCCGACTTCAGTACTCTATTGGGCTGCTAAAAATAAAATTCCTGTGTTTTGTCCTGCTTTAACTGATGGATGTAAGTTACAAGTTTTTTTCGTTTGATTAAACATTGAAATTATAAGGAAAATATTAAACTGATGGATGTTTTTTTCGATTCTTTAGCTTTTGGTGATATGTTATGTTTTCATTCGATTAAAATGGATCCTGATCCAATCAGAATTGATATAGTAGAAGATATCAGATCCATTAATGAGTTAGGTAGATCAGCTAAAAAAGCCGGTATGATCATCTTGGGTGGTGGTGTCTGTAAACATCAAATTGCTAATGCAATGTTATATGTAAGTCAGTTTGACCTTTTCTGAATTCTTGTCCCTAGTCGTTAACTTTTTTTGGTTTATTATTATGGTCCTTTTGAGGATGGGTAGAGAAATGGAGCGGAATATGCTGTGTATGTTAACACTGGTCAAGAATTCGATGGATCTGATTCTGGTGCTAGACCCGATGAAGCAATCAGTTGGGGAAAGATTAAAATGGATTCAGAGAGTGTTAAAGTTAGTCATCTTTTATATATCAATTCATGTTCTTTGTAAATCGATCACCTAACTTTGATGTGTTTGGTTTCCTTAGGTCTTTGCTGATGCTACTTTAGTCTTTCCTTTAATTGTTGCTGCTACATGGGGAAAAGATCATGTAAAAAATCAAGAATTGAAAAAAATGAAGGATTCTAATGATACCGAAGCTGATGTAAAACAAAATACAAAGTAATTGATTTTTATAAATTCAAGTGGAATAGGATATTTGAATGATGAGCCTTTGGATTTTCTTTGAATTTTCAAGCTCTTTGTTTTTTTGCTAGTCTGGTTTTGAACTTGGTTTACCAATCAAAGTTGAGGACGTTTGATCTTGATTGAAGAGTTCTATCACACTATATCATCTTTTCCCTCGAAGTACTGACTTCTTATGAGTGAAAATCTTCATTAGTATCTCAGTATCATAAGGGATCATCTTGCCTCCATTTGAAGATGTTTGCAGTGAGACATTTTTTGCAAGATGTGCATTGCAGATGAGCACATGTTTTTGTGCTATGATCCCAAAGTTACTGAAGGATATATTGAACCTTTGACATGTGACCAGTCTTATTGAGCACTTCTTCAAGAATCAACAAATGTATCTAGGATCCTTTTAACCTATGTGTGTGAAACAAATATGATCCCAAAGATGCATAGGCAATGAAAAATATCATCCATTCATAGTGTGTGATATACATATTGTATATTGAGATTGGAACAAAAACTTCAACATCCAAAGCCCAATGAGGTAAAGAACACATAACATATGAGGGGTGTCTGATCACTTTACAGAACTTGAAACTCTTGTTAGATTGTTACAACTTTCACAAGATTCAGTCACACCCAAATTTTATCACAGGGTAAGTCATATGTATTTGGATGTGATAGATTCAAACAGAAATCATAATTTGCAAGCTTTGTGATTAACATTTTCTGGATTATCAAGGTTGAAAGTATTATAAGTAAGATACAAAGTTGAGAGATTGATTTCAGATTTTGGAGATGTGTCATGAGATTTATCAGAAGATGAAGTTTGAGAAAAAGGGTTCTTCTGTTCCTAATTCAAATAATCTGATCAACTTTAGGAAAACATATGTACTGGAAAAATAGTTATGCTTTGAGGAAAAATTGATCTTTCTTAATTTGAATTACTGTGGCTATGTGGTAAACATACATACAGAGCTCAATTATCAAAGGGTGCCACTGAGGGAGAACCAAAAGTGATGATATGCTGCACATAAAACTTTGGAAGTTTGTATAGAGTTGTGTGCCAAATGATCAGATGAGTTGGAATACTTCAAGGGTTGTGAAATGTTTTAGCCAACTAATTGTTATGTAGCTGCCAGTCTGTGGTCACACCTACCCCACAGCTCATGCATGTCACCCTATCTTGGAAAACCTTCTTCACAAATGATATGTGCAACATCTTGTACAGCGCCTGCTGCCCCCTTAGCAACCACACACCAGAACCAATAAATATGAAAAGATACATCCAATATTCTGAACATTGGCACAGCCTCCTACCAAGCACCAGGACCCCCCACCATGACACACCAATAATTAACATGCAAACATCTGTACATGTCAGTATTAATGAAATGAAACCAACAATCCACTTGGCAATAGCTATAAATCAGAGTGTGATAGTCTTTGATATATAGTCTTTTGTACCTTTGTATGATTCAAGATGTCACTAGTGTGAAATCCGCGCATCTGGTGAAGACATCCAGTTTACATCTTGGTGGTTGAGATGATGAGCTCTGAGTCAAAGAAAAGGTTCATTCTGTTGGATGAAAGCAACACTTCAGTTTTATGTTCCATGGTTTCCTCCTATGTATTCCAAAAAGATTGTGCAGTCTTCAAGCAAAATCATGGGAAGCTTCAATTATATGCTCTTCAAAAAAACACCAGCAACTTCAAGGAGTTTGGGATTGAAGACTCACACAAGTACCAGTGTTTTCAACGCCAGATTAGACTGGTGACATTTCCTTTGTGTGACTGCATGGGAATCCTGTCAGTTGTCTCTAAAAGGGGGGGCTACATACAAATCCAAGCGGCTAAGTGCACTACGCAAAAACTTTTTGCAACCCTATGAACAATGCCAAATGGGTGACAGCATCCAAAGGGGTGCGGAGGCAGAGAGCCTTGCTCTGATTCTGGGGGTCTATCTGGGTGCCAACTGCTAGTGGGTCCAGGCATTGTGGTAACAATTGTTTCAATTGTCTGATGCCATTTGGGTGCGCTAGGGTGTGGTGAACAGAGGAATGATGAGCTTCTCTATTTTTCTTGAAGATGGCTTTGACTAATTTTGTGGCTGGGTTTGAGTTGGAGAGTTCTAGTAGTTGAAGGATTGTGGTGTCTGTTGTAGCATCAAAATGTTCATGTGCTGGTGCTGAGTTGGTGTCATGGCGGAGAAAAGGGGCCGGATGCATTCAAAAGACACCTAGTGCAAATTGGTAGGCAATGTTGTCTATATGTGGTAGTATACTGGCTGGACATGTGGTTTTGCCATACGTGGGCCAGACTGCACACTTGTAGTCTACTCTTGAGTGTATTAAGGAAGAAGTCAGCTGGAGGCATGCCATTGTTTCAACAGAACCTGTCCTGGATAGGCATGACAGTTGATTAGCAACCTTGGTGCCTTTGGCTATTTGTGACAATTATGTGAGCTGAAAATCTAAGCTTTTGGTTGATTAGAAGCCCTAGCCAGTTGATGTGAGGTTGAGGGTTGAGCTGGATGTCCCCTAGTCGGAGGGATGGGGGTTTCTCTGGTGGTTTGTTGTGGGTGAGAATCATACATTGGCTTTATGACCGGTCAAAGTCTGCCCCGTGATGGCTGCCCCAAGCAAATCATCGGTCGGCAAGGGTTTGAAGTTGGTCCTTCACTTCCTGGAGTGTTGGTCTGGCCATACAAAGGCCCCATTGTTGATGAAGCCCAACAAGATGGTGTTGGGGACGTCGTTGGCCTGCTGGAGGAGAGGGGTATTGCAGAGTATTTATAGGACGGCCAAAAGGGGTGAGTGTAAGGGCTCTGGTCTAGGGTCTTGAGTTTCATGACTCAAGACGTTTTAAGTCTAGGTATTAAGAGTGACAAAAGTTACTATAATAATTCGATGAAGAAGAAACACAACTATACACAACTACAACAAATATATATACCTATAACTTTCTTAACAATCTATCCTAACTACCATTTTGCTTAACAACGATTTCTTCTACAACATCTTTCTTTTATTCCTAATTCTTGTATTTGATTATATGTCTTATTTCCAATTGTTTTGTTCTAAGTTATTTGAATATTTTATGTATTTGACTCTTATGTATTTTACATCATTACAATAATAATCGCCGTCTACCCTCACAACACTCCCAACGCCGCCTGATATCCCATCTGAAATCGAGAATCTAGAAGCGAGTCCGGACAGGGAAATTGCGGGTATTTAGCGTGAAAATTCAGAAGAAATAAATCTAAATCAGAAGAAATATCCGGTAACAATACCCAAGTGTCGTCTGAAACCGGACGACCCAGCCAACGTAACAAGTATTCTGGTGGCGCTTTCTTGCTCCTCTTCCTATAATCCAGGATACCCGAAACATGCCTCCAGTCATGCGTCTTTGCTACCAGAACGTTGTTTACTAGTACAGGATTAACGTCACGTCCTCCTACACTGGGAGGCACATAAGGTGAGATCAGAGATATGTTAAAAACTGGACGAAGTCGTGAATAAGTACTGCCCAGGTTAAGTTTTACCGCGTTCTTCCCTACCATCTGAATCACTGGGAACGGACCAATCTTTCGATAATCCAACTTGGACGACGGTCTTGACGTGGTAATATTCTGCCTAGAAAGCCACACCAAGTCGCCAGGAGAGTATTCTGCCGCTGGTTTTTGATGTTTGTTATATTGATCCGCCTGAGCCTGTTTGGCATGTTTCAGAGAGATAAGCAAATTTAACTGAGTTGCCTCCAAATGTTCTACAAAAGCATCTGCATGAGGAACTCGAGAAAATTCAGTAAAACTATTCGCGCGCGGATGGAAACCCTTCCATGAAAAAAAAGGAGTCAGATTCGTAGAGGAAGAAGTAGTGTTATTGAAACAGAATTCGGCCATTGGTAAAATGTCAACCCAATTGTCCTGTCTGTAACTGATAAAATGTCGCAAATAAGCTTCCAAAGTTTGATTTGTCCGCTCTGTCTGACCATTCGTTTGGGGATGGAAAGCCGTAGACGGAGCAGGAGTTATGCGTAATTGTCGCTGAACCGCTGTCCAAAAGGAAGAAACAAAAGTAGAACCCCGATCTGATATAATTTTATCAGGGTATCCATGGTATCTAAAAAACTGGGAAACAAACAAAGCTGCTAGTTGAGGAGCACTCATTGACTCCCTACAGGGAATAAAATGAGCACCTTTAGAAAAATAATCGGTGATGACTAAAATTGAGTCACAACCAGACGAAACAGGCAGTTTGACTATGAAGTCAATTCCTATAGTACTCCAAGGACGGTCCGGGATTGAAGAAGGAATAAGTTGACCCTGCTGATTCTGCGTCGAACGCTTAACACGTTGGCAGGAATCGCAGCTACGAACAAAATTTATAACATCCTGCCGCAATGACTTCCAACCAAAGGTCCGAGACACCGAGCTGATCATATGTGCCACCCCCAGATGCCCCATTGAAGCAGAATTATGAAAAGAAGAGAGAATACGTTGACGAAGAGGGAGAGGTACAAAAAGACGATCTCTAAACCACCACAGCCCCCCTCAATATGTAAAAAGGGGTGGAGGCGTAGATTTATCAAGCCCCTCATAATCGTTATACGATTTGATAAGTAGGTCCCAAGTTTCAACAGATGGAATAATAAATGATGTGTCAATGGAACATACAGACAAGCCTTCTTTCAACATATATGGCTTCAACAACGTCATCCGATTTGAATCTTGTGATACATATTCATAATCAGGACGTCGTGATAAGGGGTCTGCTGGGTTCATCTTTCCTGGCGTATGAAGTATCTGAAAATGAAACGCACTAAGATAAGAGGCCCAACGCGCCTGCCTGGGTGTCAGTTTTTGTGAGGTCATAAAATAGCAAAGATTGGCGTGGTCAGAAAATACCGTGACCGGTGTAGGTGTGCCCATCAACCAGGCACGCCATTCCTCAAACGACTCAACAATGATCCCTAATTCCTGGACATGCACCTGCCAGTTCCGTTCCGCAGGAGTCAGTTTTCGGGAAAAGAATGAGACAGGAAGAAGATTCCCTTCAGCGTCAGGTTGCGAAAGTATAGCAGCCATAGCAAACCCTGAACAGTCTACCTGCAGAGACCTAGGTCTTTCAAAGTCAAAATGAGATAACAAAGGTGCAACCGTAAACGCATGTAATAAAGACTGAAAAGCAGAAGAACACTCAGGTGAAGCCAATCCTGCCACTACGTCAATATTCTTCTGAGTCAAAGCGGTAAGAGGTGAAGCAATAGTGGAAAATCTGTGAATGAAACGACAATAGAAATTCGTGAAACCAAGAAATCGATATAACTGTTTAGAATTGATAGGATAAGGCCAGTCAGCAATAGTTTTTAACTTGTTAGGGTCCATTCTCAAACCACTTTTCGAAATGACAAAACCCAAAAATGTCACTTCAGCTTGATAGAAAAGGCATTTATCCAACGAAACATTCAACTGATTCAATTGCAACTTGCGCAAAACTTCCAACACATGCCTTTCATGATCTTGCCGAGACTTAGAGAAAATTAAAATATCATCGATGTAGACAAAACAAAAAATGCCCAAAAACTCTGATAAAATAGATTGAATAAACCGTTGAAAACACGCAGGACCATTTGCCAACCCGAATGGCATCACCAAACATTCAAATAGACCCCAAGGAGTTCTAAACGCTGTCTTCCACTCATCACCCTCCTTTATACGAATGAAATTGAAAGCAGTCTTCAAATCTAATTTAGTAAAATATGTACATCCTGAAACACGTGTTAATAGATCACCCAACAAAGGAATAGGAAACGAGTCACGAATAGTAATTGAATTGAGAGAACGATAATCCACACAAGGTCTGTCCTTCTTCCCCTGAACCTTGACAAAAAAAATAGGAGAAGCAGCCGGTGAAGAAGAATGTCTAATGTTACCCTTCGCCAATTGCCCATCAATCCAAGCTTTCAATTCCACCTCATCCGTTTTTGAAATCAAATAAGACCCGCCATAAGTTGGCACTGCTCCTTCCTTCAGCCTTATTTCCATATCAAAACCCGGCCAATGAGGAGGTAAATTACATGAACCCTGCGAGTTAAAAACATCAGCAAACTGACGAAATTCAGACGGTATAGAATGAATCGAGACGTTTGAAGAAGGATTAACAAGAGAAGAGGAAGACAAAAAAGAGGATGATAATGATGATGATTTACCAGTTAAAGAGGATAAACCTGATTCAACTGGGGCGTCTAAACGCAACGAAGGGCCGAAACCTCCAACCCAACCGTGATGACTTTGTAACCAATCCATCCCAAGAATGAGATCATAGCCACCTAAACCAGTAACGTCCAACACTACATCGGATTTAAACAGATGCTTTCCAGTATCTTCAATTGATAAACCCCCTTTCCAAAAATGAGTCACCGGGCCATCCTTGCTAGAAGACCCATCAAAAGTAACGCAATTTAAAGGAAATGGGCGAAGTGATAAGGGAAATTGGTGACGTTGAACAAACTTTTTATCCACAAAACTGCCGGAGGCTCCTGAATCCACCAAAGCTCTTGCCGTAAAAACCTTTCCATCTACAACAAGATCGACTGCCAAAATAAGCCTAGTATCCATAGTGGAGGAATTCTTGAAATGAATCGCCGAGACTGAAGTAGTCACATCATCTTTAATACCATCTTCAACTGGATCAAACATAGGCCGAGCATCTAAAAATTCGCCACCCGAACCATCCTGAGAATTATCGTAGTAGGTTGGCTGGTCGATATTTTGATATTCAGAGAACAAAGCCGAAACTTGCTGAACAGGGTCGGTCACACTTAGCGCCTTAGGCATCCCAAGAGCTGCTGGCAAACCTGGGTGTTGAAGAGGCAAAACTTGAGCGGGTACAGGTGCCAAAGCAGGACCAAATTGAAATTGTTGATAGTGCTGCAAGTGAGGTGGTAACTGATACGGTTGAACTGGTAAGTGATGAAAAGCCGCTGAGACATCAAGAACAGAATGTTGAAAAGAGAAAGGGGGACGTTTATCACGCGAATTATCACGAGGTCCATTAGGGGTTGAAAAGGCTGCAACCGTTGCATTCGGTCTGGCTTGATGACGCTGCATAAAAGCTTCAATTTCCTGAGTTGATCTCGGAGGTGGATTAGGACAAGCGCTTTTCCCATCAGGCGTCTTATGAGTTGAATCGTAAGCTTTTAAACAGCGATGACAAACAGTTCTTGCATGACAGAATTTGATAAAGAAACCAAAAGTAATACCGCTTGGTAAAGGAGGAAAAGGCCGCCGAGAGTTCACCGCATGGATATCGACATCCATTGCATTCGGATCACGAGGAACATGAACAACCGGAGGTGAAGACGCCGCACGCTGCATCGCATGAGACTGGCCAAAAGACGCATTGTTCGCGCTTACATGAATGACTTGTTCGGAAGCCATCAATGCTACTGCTTGACGTTCTTCAATAGTAGAGCATTTAAACCAGTCTGGATGTTTAAGAGCTCTATCCTTCACATCCGCCCGCAAACCTGAAGTGAATAAGTTCTTTAAGACGACATTTGAAATCTGAAGCTGAAAAGACATGGAATTGAATCTGGAAATGAATTGTCCGACCGGTAATTTGCCTTGCTTGAAAGACTGAAGTTCGAGAAATAAACGTTCTTCGGCGAATTTATCACCAAATTTTTCAAGAAATTGTTTAAAAAAATCCTTCAATGAGCAAAGGGGTTCAATAGTGAAGCGAGTAGGGGTGACGGAAAAATCATCTGAATCTAAAACACCATTCTCCTTATCATTCAATTTTAATAAACTCATCCACCAGTCGTGTGGTCCCGAAGCAATAGGAAAATGTTTCGCAACCCAAGTTATGCGTCTGTCATCGCTAACGAAACAGACCGCGTTGGCGAAAAGAGCATCTCGAACTGCACCAACAAAACCAGGTACTTTACGAGGGTCCAAACCATCAAAGATCACGCCAACAAGGACTGGAGGTTCGGGGGGAGGTAAAGGAGTCGGAGCCGCTTGCATCACAGGAATCGAGTGCTTGAAGGCTTTGAATTCTTCATCCAATGCATCGAGACATTGTTTCTGAATCCTAGCAAAACCTTCATCCAAACCGACATTAATCTTACTCTCCAAAGATTGCAATGAAAATTTATATTTAAACTCAGTTCTAATCACATTTAATACCTCGTTCTTCTCATGATTCATATTTTGTTTAAATTCTGATCTAATCACATTCAAAACATCATTCTTCGCATGAATTATACTATTCTCCAATAATTTTTCAATAGCAGCGGAGGCGGTACTGTTGCGAGCATCAATCATATTGTGGAATGCCTTATTGAAATCTTCGAAGCGAGGTTCCAAGTAACGTGAGACAAATTGTTGTTCAGATGATGATAAAATGTATAAAGGTACGACAGGTTTTGAGGTTTCAGGTTGTTGAGAAGTCATGACCAAAAAATTTAAGATAAATATCGATAGATAATAAAGAAAAACTTTAAGATGTTTAAAGAGATGATTTATAAAGTTATGATAATGTTGATAAGCCAATATGAGAGAAATATCCAGAGAGACAAAGAAATAAGATAATAAAAATTCACAAAAGAAAACATACCACCACACAAACGAAAAGGTAACAATGACGTAATAGAATATCCACATTAAGGAAGGAATCACAAAGTTTAATATTATACACGAATACCACCGTAACTTCTTCATTGTAGGGCGAAAGAAAATTAGTATGCTACATATAACAAAATAACGTATAACATCATAAATAACAATATCTGAAACGAAAAGAAAAACACTAAGTAAAAAGATAACAAGGAAAAGTAAAAAAAATAACGCAAAATAAAGCACAAAACGAGAAAATATTTGTAATGATCGAATTATACTGTAAGGGCTCTGGTCTAGGGTCTTGAGTTTCATGACTCAAGACGTTTTAAGTCTAGGTATTAAGAGCACCCACTATGGTAAGGGTGATTTATCGTAAAATTTGCGTTGCTGAAGCGTGAAATTTGATCATGCGTTATTTACCAAAGTCGGCAACCGCATGAAATCCACTATGGGATGATCTACGGTCTGCTTTACCAACGATAAATCACTGTGAATCAATCAGATCCACAGTGGTATGATCTTGAAATGAATCATCTCATTTCTCATAACCTTCATCCAAGAATTATCCACCAAATGCCCGCTACAAGTTGAAAAAACAAATCGATTGTCTTTTGAAGTCTTCAAACAATGATGATGAGCAGCAGGACTTGCCTCTCCAATGATCTCCCACCACCACCACCACCCCACACTTGCTTCCGAATCTAAATACTGTCATGTTGTACCTTGAAAACATGCTCATTCCGAGAAATTCCAATGCTCATCAAGAGCTTCAGCGCGATCTCACGATGAACCTCTGGCTGAAGGAAGCGGGTCAATGAGAGTCATTCTTTTGAAACTGCCTCATGTGATACTAATATTACTTTTGTTAAACTGATTTAAAGATATATACATAACATTTTATTGCTCGATGATTATTTGAGATCTGTATCTACTGATTTAAATATATGTATATATGGTTTTTTGCTTGATGATTGTTTCAGATGTGTATCCACATGTGTATCCACATGACTGAGATTATGAAAAACAAACTAAGTCCAATTTAAATATACATTCATACAATTGTTTTGCTTGGTGATGAAGATCTGTTGACTGAGATGATGAGATAGAAACTAAGATTGGACTGTTGATATCTCTTTGCTACTTCCTTTGTTTAGGAGTGTGATGTTTCCAAAATTTGATGTCTTGAGGTCGACTCTTGAGGATGAGTTTTGAAATTGAGGTTTTGAGGTTTGGACATTGAGGTGTTGAGGTTTGAACGTTGAGGTGTTGAGGTTTGAAGTTTGAACGATGAGTTTTGATGTTTGATGTTTTGAAAAATGCAGTTGGTGACCGATTATCCTACGATAAATCAAGTCGTAGGCTTGCGTAGATCTGAAGACACGAAGTGCAAGACTTGATGCAGCCGTCCGGACTGCAGGTCTAAAACAGGTCCATAGTGGACCTGTCGGTATTTTAGCGTTACGGTAACGCTAAATCACGTCGTTAACGCAACCATAGTGGGTGCTCTAAGAGTGACAAAAGTTACTATAATAATTCGATGAAGAAGAAACACAACTATACACAACTACAACAAATATATATACCTATAACTTTCTTAACAATCTATCCTAACTACCATTTTGCTTAACAACGATTTCTTCTACAACATCTTTCTTTTATTCCTAATTCTTATATTTGATTATATGTCTTATTTCCAATTGTTTTGTTCTAAGTTATTTGAATATTTTATGTATTTGACTCTTATGTATTTTACATCATTACAGTGAGCCCTGGGGCAGAGCTATTGTTAGCTGTTTTGGCTCTGACTGGCGATCTCCCAGTTGGATTGTTGTTGTTTGGCTGCAGAGAAAATGAGTTAACAGTCCGTTCAAGCCGGGACAGAAGCCCATGCTTCGGAGTGCGTGGCACATTGTCGGGTTCACCGTTCGGAATGCTTATGCAGCTTTGACGTCGACAGATAGGGTTCCTACAACGTTACCCTTTGCCCATTGATTTTTCGTCCATATTGATAAGTTCAGGAGCGCGTCAGTAGTGGATGATGATCTTCTTGGACGACCATCGTAGTGGCCCTCAGACAGGATGTTGTTTGATTCTGCGAAGCGTTCCATGTTGTTGGCCAAGACCGCTTCGAGCACTTTGCTTAACGATGGGTATGTTGACCACTGCGGCGACGACTTTTTTCCAAAAAAAAGAAAAAAAAGTGGTTAATCATTCTCAAATCGGCTTTAAAACACAATAGATTGACTGTGCGCGGCTTGCGCTCCCATTTCGAGAGCCGCCTCGCAGCTTCCACAGCCCTTTGAGTGTTCTGAAATGAGTAGTCAAAGACGAAATGGGCTTGCATGAATCAGGGCCACAATTAGATTTCAAAATTTGAAGCCTACAACAACAAACCAATTCACTACGACCGGAAATTTTAATTGTGAACTGCTTATCAGATATTTACTATCGGATTTAACTTAAACTTATTTAACTTCGGTTGACTAACTTCGATCGACAATAGTGAGATCTTCAATTGAATTTGATCACAGGAACCTTACTGCAACCCTCTTCAAGTAACTTTCTCAAGGAACAATCATTACTCTGCCTCGGTCACCGGGAAGGAACTTTTTGGAGAGATGACCCTCAATGCTACTTACACGGATTGTAAATTATTAAAACCTTTTTACTTTTCATCCTCTGAATGAATCAGAATGGATACCAACCATTCGCTGATCAATCCTTCTCCTCTCGTTTCACTTTCTGAAGTCGGTCAAATCGTTTACACTGATCCACAAGGAAAGGTATCAATCTATAATCCCGGTGACATATCATGGATCCTCACTTCAACTGCATTGGTCATGATTGTCAGTCTTTCTCTTTACTTCAACCAAGACTTATCTTCTAATTGACATTTTAATTTCTCCATTTTCTTTATTCAGATGACTCCTGGACTCGCCATCTTTCATGCCGGTTTGCTCCGGCGGAAGAACGCTCTCTCTCTCATGTTTCTTTCAATCGCAATCTATTCAGTCGTGGCTATTCAGTGGTTTCTATGGGGCTTCTCTTTGGTCTATTCACCTAATGATTCGTCTTTCGTCGGTTCACTTCATCATGTCGCATTTCAACATCTTGGTTTCGATCCTGCGGAATCTAATGCTCGAGTTGGGTTTATATGTACCTACCATTAATCTTTGATTTTATGCTGACAACCTGTTTCCTTTGCTCTTTAGATTCCTGTTTTGGCGTATGCAATCTACCAGATGATGTTCGCAACTGTTAGTCCTTTTTTATCGTGTACATTTTAAAAAATTATCAATCTCACATTATTCCTTTTCTTGCGATATCAGATTACCTGTGTCATCATCATGGGAGCAGTAGCTGAAAGGGGAAGAATTGTACCTGCCGTAGTATTTGCTGTTCTCTGGACCACAATTGTTTATGATCCAATAGCTGTCAGTTTTCTTCCTTTCTTTTTTGTATCTCTCTGTACCTTTTGGTCTGACTATTGGTTATCAAGAGGTGGACTTGGTCAATCAGAGGATGGTCACTCAAATTAGGTTCATTGGATTTCGGTGGAGGTGGACCCGTTCATATGTCATCCGGATCAGCTGCCTTGGCTTACAGTCTTGTTTTGGGACATCGAGCTGGGTATAAAACTGCTAGGCTTGCTTATCGTGCTCATAATGCCTCTTATGTCTTTCTGGGTACTGCTTTGCTTTGGTTCGGATGGTACGTGAGTTTGATTTTGATTCTGCAGAAACTTCAAACTTAATACAAACGGTTTTCAGGTTCGGCTTCATTGGTGGTTCAACAGATGCTTCAAATCTTCAGGCATTGCATGCTTGTCTGGTCATCAATCTTTCTGCTGCTGCTGGTGGTCTTACTTGGCTTGTCATTGATCGTCTTCGTCAAGGAACCTGGTGTTAGTGATCATCTAATATTTTTGCACTATTTAATGATCCTTTTCACTGATTCTTTTTTCTGTACACAGCTCCCGTCTCGTTCTGCTCTGGAGTACTTGTTGCTTTAATTGCCGCTACACCGGCCGCAGGACTTGTGCCTGCCTCAGCTGGATTGGCTTTTGGTGTGATATCAGCATTAGTTTGTAATTATGCAACGGTCCTGAAGGTTTGGCTGGATTGTGATGACGCACTTGGTAAGTTTATCTCCTCTCCTCCTCTCTCTTCCGACTTTACTGCTGACAAATTCTTTGGAATCATGAATTAGATATCTTTGCATCTCATGCAATAGGAGGATTAACAGGATCCTTACTTACCGGTATTTTTGCGGACGCCAATACGGCTTCTTTTGATGGTAAAACAAATATCAAAGGAGGTTGGATTAATGGAAACTTCATTCAATTTGCATATCAACTTGCTAGCTCATCTGTGATATTGGGCTATAGTTTTATTATATCAGCAATCCTTTTGTTAATCATTGATCGTATACCTGGTATTGGACCTCTCAGGGTTGGTGAAGAGGCAGAAATTGAAGGATTGGATTATGATCAATTAGGAGAATTGTTAGTATTCTATCTTTCATTTGAAACCTCTTCATGTGAAGATACTGATGTAGGATTTCAACATACAACAGCGCCTATGATTACGTAGAACAAGAACGGGAATTGATTTACAGGTTACCGATCTCACCACGTGAACTTAAAAACATTGAAACCTCTGAAATAAGTAGTCAACATCATCATCCGAATCCTAACACAAGGAGAGAGATCGTCTCTGATGCGATGAGTGATCAAACTGCATCTCATTCTGTGATTATTGAAACACTCACTTGTACACATCCAACTTCTTGAAAGCATAATCAATTTCTCTACTAAGTCATGATTTCCTCTTTGTTTTTTTCTTACATACCATATCTATTTATATATAACTTATCATACTTCATTCACACATCATATTTTTTTATTAACAAGCATATCATGATTTTTTATGACCGTTTCTTTTTCTTTTCTCGTCTTTTTTTCATTACATTCTTATCATTTATTCATATCAAGAACGTTTCCCTTTTTCTTCTTTTTGTCTTTTGTCAATTCTAAAATTGTGAATTGAAAAGTAGCATGTTTATTATCTTTTTTTCTCTATTCTTCTAGGAAGTATGATTTATTTATATGTGATTTCTTTTTCTTCTGTTTGATTGTTTATATACAACTAACAACTAGTCTGATCAGGAAAAAAATGTAGATAGACATAATAGGTTTTTGACTGTATCATATAAAATTTTTATTGGGTTTATTTTTTGATTTATTTTTTTTATTTTTGTTCTTTTGATCATCTTACATATAATACATAGAAGGTTTTAGTTGGAAAAGTTAGTTTGTTAAGATATACGTACATTATCGTAGATTATGGATTTTTCTTTGGATGTTATGAACCTGATGATATGAAAGACATGCATTGTCATTAATATTTTATTGAAAGATTTGCTATTCCCTGCCCTAGATTGGTGATGCGCGTGTTATATAAAAGATTGCAAAGAATTGGATCAAGAACTGTCAAGTTGAACTTGTGAGTTTGATTCCAATGAAGTGGTTGCAAGGCAGCCTCAGGTTGAGTTTGTATACTGATATCCAGAGCTCAAAGAGATGTCATCTGTATCAGTAACAAGTGGAAAGTTATTTTCAATGCAGGATTAAGGTCTGAAGGAGTATGGTGGGAGACACCAAAGATGAGGAAAAGCCCAAAGAATCTTGAAATTTTACTCGAGCCCACAATTCTCAATTTGTTGAGAAGCCAAGGGTAGTTGTAAGATCACCTCATCCAGAGCTTCTCAAAAGTAGCTTTTTAGAATGTTTCATCAAAGATTACAAGAGCTATGCAAGCTAGGACATATCTTACATGTCAAGCTCATCTCTCTGAATTAAATGAATGGCTCAAATGAAAAGGTAACAAAAGTTTTGCAATTGCTACAGAAAGCTAGTTTTGGGAAGCTCTGGATGCTAGAGCATCTCAAAAAGTCCCCTTGGCTTCTCACCAAGTTGAGAACTGTGGTCTTGCTTAAAATTTCAAGATTATTCAGGGATTTCCTTATCTTTGGTGTCTCCCGCCATAGTACTTGTATAAATATGTTTGATAATTTGAAGTTATAAATAAAAGAAATAGCTTTGAGTTGAGATCTATCAATTTTCCATCAGTATTGAATTTCTGTAAAATTTATAATACCTCATTAAAAAGCTTTTCACTTATTGTGGTTGCTAATTCTTTGGGCTTGTAACCATATGTATTCAACTTGTGGAATAGGAATACTGACAAATTTACTTAAGAGTTGATCAACTGGAGTTAACCCCTCACAAACTAGAGGGTCATAGATTTTTGGTCTTGAGTCTTTGAACTTGGAAGCAAATCAAAGGGATAAGTCACTTCTCTTTTTGTTGATGGTTCTAGTGATAGGCTCATTAATAGAATTGGTGTTGGTGTAATGTGAATCTGAGGAATGAGTCATTAGATTTATGATTTCTAATGTGGATTCCAAAGTGTACTTCATGTATGTTACATGTATAAGTCCAGAATGCTTATATAAACAGATGACCAAAAACTTGATTTCAGGCCTGGTTTAAACATGAAAATAAACCTGAGCATTGCAACTAACAAATAGTATTTATAAGTGATTGCGGGAGACAAATACTATAGGAGATGTTACTGTGCATGGATTGCATTCACCTTTGTATTGCATGTAGACAATCTAAACCTAGTCAAGGATAGCTGAGTAAACTTAGTTGAAAGAAAGAGGAACCATGCCAGTTCAGCTTATTTTTTTTGGATGTCAACTTACCTGAGGAATGAGGTCTGCCTTGCAACTTGAGGATACCACAATAACATCACATCAGAGACGGAGTCTGGACTCTGACGGAGATGGCGAAGTAACCCACCGGTCCGGGGCTGTGCCCCGACCCGTGATGAACTGGGTCGGTCTCTCCAGCCTTGTTCAAATCAAACCGTCCAGAAATTAAAGCCCAAAAGAACCTCACCCCCTAAATCATCGCGATCAACCAACAAAGGAACTCTCAATAGATTGGCATCATGGTGAGCTCATAAACACAGCATAGTTGATGTTACTAAATCGGGTCTTTCTTGTGTCTTCCAGAATCGCATCTTCGGTAGCTCATCTGCAAAGGCTCCGAAACCAACTCTGAACGATGCCATTCAATCCACTGAAACAAGAATAGACTCCATGGAAGTGAAGATTAGAAAGTTGGATGCTGAATTGATCCGATACAAGGAGAACATGAAGAAACTACGCGATGGACCAGGCAAGGTCAAACTCTAGCGATACCAATCGGTTTAAGACGCGAGATTCACTGACGTGGTGTGGTGACGATTGCTGGATCCCTGGATCAACCATTTCGCAAAGATCAGACAGCAATGCAACAGCGAGCAATGAGGGTGCTTAAGCAGAAAAAACTGTGCGTGAATGTCTGAGCCTTTCGATCTACAGGGTATCATATCTGGTTTTCTGATCTTCATCTTGGTGTCACCTCAGATACGAAGGACAGCTCGAGCAACTTCAACAACAAACCTTCAATATGGAACAAGCTATAATGACGACTGATAACTTGCGTAACACGATGGCAACAGTGGATGCCATGAAGCAAGCAAATAAGGAGATGACGAAACAATATGGCAAGATCAACATCAGCCAGATCGAGGTCAGAGCATTACTATCCATCCAGAATGAATTCTGTCGTTGTCTGTCACTCATGACTGGGATTTTGACTAGGCGATATCGTACGATATGGAAGACTTGATTGAACAAGCTAACGAGGTCCAAGAAAGTCTGGGCAGATCTTACGGTGTCCCTGACGAGATTGATGAAGACGAATTACAAGCGGGTAAGTTCTGCCCTCGTTGGGAGATCAATTCGGATAAATTCCTGACTGACTCCTTGTGTGACTAAGAATTGGAGGCACTTGGAGATGACCTCACTGAGCTCGAAAATCCAGATATGAACGACGGGATTCCCAGTTATTTGAAGAATACCGATGCTAGTCAATTACCTGAATTGCCCTCAGGCGAAGTAAGCCAAGCTTCACTGATCTTTTATACAATTCTGATTGAAGTCCAAGCTCTGATTTGTCTATTGTCTTCTAGCTTCAATCTCCAGCGGAACCCATCAAAGCCACTTGAACACTACATATTTCAATCTTGCTTGTTTTTTCTTCTTCAAGTCCGAAGCCGTCAAGGTCAGAGTCATTCGCTCAATGACATTCTGTGTATGTAATAACAGTTCAGATTACCACAAAAAGATGCTGTGTGCAGAGCCTAAGAGCAATCACTGGTTTACAGAGCGTACTAATCTACATTGTCGCAAACCTTGTAATAAAAACATGAAATTGTGGTACATCCTCTGGGCCCTCACAACATATCCCACCCCATCACAAGCACGAGCTGTCTGTAAAAGCTATCAGGTCGAGAAGCACATCCCATAAAATTGTAAGATGTGATTTTGGGGGGTTGAGGGTAAGCATCACACTGCTGGTGTGAGGTATTTGTATAGAGGCTGTTGTAATGCAAAATGGGCAGTGAATACCAAAGTGCAAGTATGTTGGCACAACTACATATCCATGGTTTTGTGGTGGTCCCTTTTCTAGCCAACCATTCTGAATTTATGCAGCTTATGTCAAGTCTTTCTGACAAACACATGGTGAAACATAAAAAGAAATAAACATCTTACTATTGCAATTCAGTAAGACCCAAATGAACAAGTGATATGTGGATTCACCGGATTGAATCCCATTCCGATTCTCATATATAGGGAAAAACACTTCGGTCCAGACCCTACACCACTGAAGGGTCTTTACGTGCATATCACGCGCAGAACCTTTGCAGAGGGTGAGCGCGTGAAATTCTCGCTGAGTGCAAACACGTCATGGGCATGCGGCACCCTCGCCTCGCACCCACGTGCACTGACACGCTCCAGAGACGCACCCGTCTCTGTAAAGTCACGTGTCCACAGTCTCTTCCGGACGCACAGCCCAATGCCAGGGGCCCACGTGAGAAGTCCTCACAGGCCAGATACGCCGTCCTCGCAGGGTGTTGACGCACACCTCCAAGGCCGCAGGCCTCAGCTGGGCGAGCGATCTTTGGGCATTGGGCGCTGTTGCGCTACGAACTCTCACTCAGAAGTTCAGAAGCTTTCAAGCTGGCCCGCGTTGTGAATAAATAAGCGGCACGACACGAACCAGAAGGCATAATTCATTACTTTTATCAATCATACAAGAAAAGGTAGAAAAGCAAGCCAAATAAGACTTGTCGATATGTTAATTTGAGTGGATTTAAATAAGTTGAGAATTATGTCATCATTGATTCATCCTCCTCGCCATCCTCCTCTCCACCCGGTTGCCCAGAGCCAGACCCCCCTAACACGTCCCCAGCGCCGAGAGCATGCGCGTCATTCTCAACGGCCGGTGCTAGCACTTCCTCAACTGCGGGAGATGCCAGATGTGGTCCCAAAGTTTTCATGGTCGCCCACGAACGCTTGCCATCAAAAGCGTTGCGCTCATAGCGCACAATACGATCGAAGTACCTGCGAGAGAACCATAAGGGTTAGCGAAACTCCTTACTCACGCTGACCCAATCGGATAAAATGAAAAACTCACAAAGCTCGATCGCTTTCTGGTCTGGCACGAAGGTCTGCCAGTACTTCGTCCATGACAGTCCACTGGCAACGTTTTTTGTTGACTGTGTGATTGAGGTGATACCACACTGTCACGTATTGCTTCGCGGAAGAAAGTCGTCGGTAAATGAAACCTATGATGCCACGTTAACCGGTGAACGGAGCACTAACCATGAAGATGATGCACTTGACAGTCTCGCGCCCCAATTTTGTCAATGTTTCCTTGTTGCCAAGAGATCGAGCCTCGCGGATAAACACTCGGGCGACCTGTGTTTGTGTTCATTCGGTCGTCGTCAGGGTACAAAGGAACACGGAAACACTGTGCGAACTGACCTGAAGCACCAGTGATTTGGCAGACGGGACGAGCAGCACATCGCCAACCGCGCCCTCGGGCGCACCCAGGATATTGGTGAGAAGCTTCATCGGGACAAGAGTTGGTCAGCTCACCATCCTTGATGCTGAAAGGGGGCCGAGGTCAAACTTACCACTGATCGCACCTTGCTGCGCTGATTCTTCAACGTCTCTTTGACGAAGAGGTACATCGGAGTTGCCGGAACGCACGCCTCGCCGGGGCTGTAATCGCTAAGGCAGTGTTCATCTACAAACTTGTGATCAAGCCCTTTGAGGAAGTTCTATCGAAAGTGTCTGTTTGTTCAGCTTTCGCAATGGTGTGACATGAGGAGAATAAGGAATCGAGTTACTGACAAAGGTCAGGACTTCCAAACTCTGCACCATGGTGGTGTGATCTCCGGCCACAGTCTTGCTGAATGCCTGCAGGTCTGGCCGGAAAATGAAACCTGACACCGCATCCTTGAATGTGTCCTACGAAACAAATGCGCAAAAATTTGAACCAATCACGAGTGATTCGAGTAAACAAACACTTACTCGAATCACTCTGCCAGGTACCCACTTGGGCCCCAATCCGCTCGATCGCCCTTCCTGAAAACTGAATACAAGGTACGCAAGTGTAGCGAGATATTCTTCACCGGGCAGTGTGATCTGCCCAATGAAGACCAGCAAAATTAGCCCGTTGTCAAATGTTTGAGGCAGAAGTGGAGAGAAATATGTGGAAGTGAGCGTACCTCGCACATCCTTTGCAAAACTTCTTGATTCTCCTTTGTCAGTTTGAGCAAGTCGATATATTTTTTAACACTGCTGGCACCTGCGGCTGGCCGCAAAGAGGCTCTGGCTGGGGTGCCTGTGCCGCTGTAGTATTTAAAGCTCAACAAGAGCTTTACAACACCTAAGAAGGGATAATCTACTACGTGTAATATAGTAGAAGTTGCCTAAAGACTGCCTTCTTCAAAGAAACCAGCACGAGGGCACTTGCTGACCACTTTGTGATAACAGAGAAATAGATAAAGCACCAGAGAAAATAAAGCAATACTGTTGTGTAGTATTATTCCCAGATTTTAAGCGCAAAAAGTCACACACTATGTTTATTACTAGCAATACCGTTGTAAGTATTATTCCCAATTTGACTTATAGTCTTTAACACACGTAAATAAATTTCTCCTTGCTTTGAAGGGGCGGATTTAAGTGATCTTAGTACAAATATAGTAAATAAATGATGATTTATAACACTACAACAAAGGTATAAGATGCAGAAAAGGGCGCTACTATCCTAAAATCATCAAGGAGTATTTATATCCACATGTAACAACTTTTAAAACAGTCAACAGCTTCAAAAACCAATCAAATCCGCCTAAATAACCCTAAAAACCATGTAATGACGCAATGTAATGATCTTGTTACTAATGTATGATGTAATTTTCACAGCCAAAAGTGATCAATGACGCAATAATATGATGTACAGCACTTCTTAAGATGAATACAGGTGATTTTTTCCTTGTAAACTAGCTGAAACCCAATTTTTGAGATTACAAATTTTTTCAGATGTGCTCCAATTTTTGATTACTAAAGTGCATCTTGTAGCCCACGTGTTACTGATCATTTCTGACACCTACATGACCTACTTCTGATGAGTGATGAGTAAGATATTGAGTTGTGAAGTTAAGGTTTTTGGTGTTACATGTGACTTGTGACTGTAAATTCGAGATTCACACCAATTTCTTATTTGCCTTATAACTTTTTACATAAACCTCCGTTACTAATGATTTAAAGATTGTACGTTATGTAATCCACTCTTCTGCGTTGAATGAGCTATCTACCAACTTATTCTGACGTCATTTGACATATGTAATTAGCTGAAAACCTCCATTTTCGACGATTTTCACCTATTTTCTTCACTTTTCACAGCTGCTACTCTCTTTTTCTTGCTCATGTAATATGACATCGTCTTCTATAACCTTAAAAATCCCGGAAAATCCTCTTGGCAACCTTAATTTCCACTACTACCACCATTACATATGTAAACTACACGCATAACCCTTGTTTACCAACTTCGAAAAAGTACCTTTCTGCTAATAACTTCTGTTTTTCCTTATCAACCTTGAAGATTAAAATTGTTACTGTATTATAAACTGTTGTTCTTTCATATCTTAACCTCATAAAACCCATAACTTAATTATAAATAAGCTAAAAACCATTTTCCAACTTTTACACCTATATTTTCGAATTTTTCTTATCTTTTTCTTTTCTGTCTTTTTGTAATAACTTTGTAAGTAAACTATGTTGATCTTAATAATAATTTTGAAATAAGATGACATAATAATGAGCTAATAAGTATACATAAGCCTCTAAGAGCTTCAATTGATCTGAAAACCTGAATTTCGAATTCTCTGCTATATTGAAGTTTGCTAATAAATTGGTAAAGTGAAAGATGATTTAATTTTCTTGATTGATATCATAAATAGATCACCACACCGCGTGGTTGGGGCGGCCGAAAGAGAGTTGCAGCAGCGGTTCGGGGTGATTCTCCTGTCAAAGACGTCGCGCTTTGGGAGGCTACACAAGCGGGAACGTGTATGAGGAAGGTACGGGTCAGTTGGAAGCGAAAGAGGGGGGGGAAAGAAATGGAATGTTACAGTGTAACAAAAAGGGGGTATGTGGTTGGACCACACCGAACTGGCTGTTTTCCACGCTGGCATCGTCCTCGAAAATATCATCCATCGCAAAATCGGAAGTGTGCGAAGAAGAATGAAGTAGGGAAAAAAAAAACTGTGACGACCTCGTTCCGTTTCAGAAAGAAGCATCATGAAACGACGCTATATAACCAGACGGCCGGAAGGGTGTACTTGCCTGTGAATAGTAGAGCTGACATTCCGAACCTAAAAGCGAGTCTATCCCTTTGACATCAGGAATGTCAGCACGTGTGAGGGGCATTCCTGGGTTAATCAGAATTCTTGAATGCATGAATGCATTCCTGAGGAACTTACTTGCACGGATCTTGAGGTATTCAAAGGTATGCATCGATGGCAGATTGGATATACCGGTGAAGAAGGTCCCAACCGCAGGTGAGTCCGAAGCGTGCAGTTTTGAAGCGTTGAGAAAGCCAGCCATGAGTGTTGATGAGTGAGTGGAAGGGTTTCATTCAAGCGAGCAAGGGGGGTTCCAGGTGGGGAGTGGGACTTGTGAACCTCGCCTCCCCTGTTCATGTCCCACTTCACAGGTGGACATGTCACCAACAGGGGACTTCCAAAGTCGTTTGAGGGCATTCCTAAAGGTCTTATCGATGGGAAACAAGGCCAAAAGGGCTTTAGTCCGCCAGGCATATCAGCACCAACTTTCCAAACAGATGTAGACACAGACATAGTGGTGGTTCATCTCACACGGACCACCAAAGTCAAGGATAGATCACAAAGGTCCTTTTCATTTGTCAAAGCAAATTCAAGGAAAGATCACAAAGGTTCTTTTCATTGCAAAAATAATTCCATTACAAATATACAATTTCCAGAGCCGGTCAAAATGGTATATGACCAAGTCTCAGCTACATATGTATTTCCGGCACATCATCTTCGTCCTCTTCCATGGGCACATCCATAGAATCAAACATGGCACTGTTTGGATTGGCTTTGGGTGGACATTTTTCCACCCAAGTTGAGAGGCCTTTGGTAATGGAGGCTTGCCATTCATCTGGGGTGACTTCCGACCACTCATACTTGGTCACACTGCGATGATACTCTGACGAATAGTGGGCACCCGCATTGATGATGTACGAGTTGAACGCCTCATGAGACACTTCCGGCCTTTTTTTTTGCGCGGCGGTGCGTTCGATTCGGAAAGCACGGGTCTTTGTGACACCACATTTGGCGTCATGGCAGTTGTGCTGCACATTGAGGACGCATGATATATTCTGTTTCCAAAAACAGTCAGTTCAAATAATTGAACCACAAATTGTTTGAACACATACCTCAATTTTGATCCATGCATACTGATTGATTTCTGTGGCCTCCCGCATACCATAAAAGGGGTGTAGTCCAGCCGACAACTTGATTTTTTGTACTTTGATCAAAATCACGTTACTTGACAGTTGTTCCCATATCCCGGTTACACGGCCAATCTTCATAGGTGAACTTGACTCGGGTTCAAAATCAATCTGCGGTGGGTAGAAAAGACAGTTAGCGCGCCGGAATTATTTTTGGAAATGATCATTGTCATTACCAATAAAAAAGTGCCGCATAAAACTTTGCGCCCATCGGGAAGTACCACTTGGCAACCTTTCCTCCAAAGTTTATTTGGCCATTGAATGCGTAACTCATTGGGGGTCTCTTCTTCTTGCAAATTGGCGGCTAGTGAAAGAAAAAACAACCGGAGAATTCACGGTGAAATCCACGGTACAGCAAGGTGAAATACGCGACTTACGAGTCACTTTGACTTTCCTTTCCTGTGATGGCAAGAAAGGGAGATGGAGACCAACAGACCGCCACACCTCTTTTTCTTGGAATAGCTCTTGGAAAAGTTTTGACGCTGTTGCTCGTGTCCCGAGTCTTGAATCAAAGAAAGATCCCCCCGTAATGAGCATCCGCACAAGCCGTTTGTTATTGAAGCTGTTAGAAATATCTTTGCCAGGCGCGTGGTGATTGGACTTGATTGAGGCGGCACGTGTTGTGCCGTTTTGAGCTTCCATCTTGTCAGTCAGAAATAACGGGGGAGGTCCAAAGCGGTCGACTGAATCCGGGAGGTGGGTGAGCATGTGAAATTTTGGTTTGTTTGTCCATTGGGCAGTTAGAGCCACAAGCTGGTTCAAGAATCGAGACACCACAATGTTAATTCAGTAAGGTATGGCTGCTTGTGAAAAATCCGGGTTTGAGATATGTATGATGCCAAGTGAACCAAAGCAATCCAACAATGTCGATAATCATCAGGTAGAAATTCGAAAAACACAAACGGCGCCGCCTGCAAGACCACACGGAAGTCTTTTCCGAGTAGGCTGTTGGCGTAATGAACCATGTTCCGTGGCTGGATTGGAGCACAATTCAGACCATCAATTGCAACAGATTGCCAACGTCCGGTTACAATCGCCAGTTCGGCCGGAGATAACTTTGAAATCACATCACGATACATATATTTAGTGACCCCAAGCAAAACTACATGTAATGATTCAACCGGGGTGTCTATGTGTCCATCAAAAGCTGAGAAAGATATGTCAGCTATGAGATGAGTTGGTTATTAATATTAGTAAAAGAGTAAATACCAGCCAAGCGTAGAAAAGGATTGAACATATGTTCTCCAAATTCCTCCTCCAAACTTTCACAATGTTTGATGATCTCGTCTTGGGACATCTGGTCTTCTTTGGGTCTATGTTTGTTGGAGCGGTAGAGTTGCTGAGCATCTTTTGCAAAGGGCAGATTTAAAGAATCACGAGTTCCATAGGCTTTAGAAAGATCATCAAATTGCCTGATGCTTTTGGGGTTTCGTGTCAACTTCCACAACTGTTTCGTCTGTTCTCGCGTGCGTGCCCAGTTACGTCTTGGCCGATGAGCGTACACAAAAATGCACAGTGAGGAAAAGTATCAAATATGTGGCAATTTCAGGTGGAAATCGTACAGGGCACCAGTTCGCGTCGATTCCCACAAACTGTTGGACATAGGTCTCGGTTTGCTTATCCGCTCGAGACTCGACTGTCAAGTCGCATATTCGACAAGGTGATAAAGTCCCCGAGGGATTGGTAGTATTTGAAATCTCAGCGTGCATCGGTGAGTCTCCCATGTGGCATAGGATAAATGGTACCACCAGGACGTCTTGCTGAATGCTGCAGTCAAATGCATTAAACCCATGTGAAGCTGCTTCACTGGAGACAATTGTCAGCTCAACACTTGTGAAACCAACCATTTATATCATAAAAATGAGGACGCACTTCAATTCATCTACTATCTGATCACCTTGCTCCAGAGCACTTGCAATGTTTGAAGTGCACAACGAGTGAATGTGAAACTCCTGATTTGTAAATTTGGGAACCAGGCCGCCCAAGGAGAAATAGAAGGACATGTGTTTATTCCATTTTTTGGACATGTTTCCCGAAGTATCATCGGAGTAAAGTACAATTGGTACACTTCTAATAATCATAGCATTAGCCTTAGACAGCCAGGGATTTGGGAGCTCAATGAGCTTGACTCCGTTCTTGGTATTCTCTATAGATAGAAGTCAGACAATCTGTTAGCCTTTTTGGACGCGCGCAAAGCAAAGCAAAACAGTCCAAAGAAGGATGAGAAACTCTTGGTGAACTCACGCAGGAGGTGGGTGTTTACACAATCACTCCATTTATTACCATCCAACAATTCTATTCGCGGGAAAGATGTGGCAAAAGTTTGAACGCTGACATCCAAAAACGTCCCCGAGGCAAAGTTGGGCTCTGCAGGAATCACGAAATTGCGAGAGCCTTGACCAGCGGGTGCAACCTCTAAGCACTTCGCCCGTACGGAGCACTCGTCTTGATAGAAAAAGACTGGGACAACCACGCGCGCGTCTGCCAATTGAGTTGGTTTGTATAGGTAGAAGTGTTCCCCTGCCACATCAACCATCGGCACTCGGAGACTGGGAGGTAGCTCTTCCCGCCATTTCTTTGATTGGGAATATCGGTCGACAATGACACCTTCATCCGTTTTGGGGAAAAATTTCATATGGGGAGCCACTTCGGGGTTGCCCAGCTCCTACACGATGATTATCAGACGACCAAACAAATAGTGAATCTTAGAGAATCAATACTGATGTGGGGGACAAGCACAAGACTTACTTGGGACACAATATCGCAAACGGAGAGAGTAAAACATGGATTTCCCAGTGGGCTTATCCTTTCTAACACCCTCAAGCCGAGGCGAGCTTTCAAATCAGTGCGAATCTTCTTTATGTGACCTGAGATGCGGAGAGTCAGATCAATCTTGACCGTAGAGCCATGGCGCCCGCCGTCAGAATGGAAAATCACACTGACCCAGATCTGGCAGGTCAACTTTAAGAACCCTCTTGAGAATCGAACGGATCCGGTTGTACTCTGCTGTCGACATCAAGTTGCGCCCAGTTCCCATCATCAATAGGGCCGCGGCGCGCTGGAATAGGAACGATGGTACAAACCATGTCAGTACCTTTCACGGAATAAGTAACTGAGGGACTCGGACAACCTCTGCCTTTTGTAAAGGGTACCACGGAAGCCACGTGTCTGTGGCCGCCTGTTTGGGTTCAACTGCCTGTGAACTGCAGCCTGGTGAATCGGAACCGTCAAGCATTTCCTCCAAGTCGACACTAGACTCTCCAGAGGTGCAGCCGAGTTTGATTGGATGTGATGGATCATAGAGGGATTCCAGGCCGTCCGAGCTAGAATCGACGCCGTCCTGAAAAATATCCATAGCGTTTTGATTGTGGGCATTTTGATCTTCCGCAACTTCTTCGACGGGATCGTCCTCGGGAAACATTGGGGCAGCCAATAATGTTTGCCTGTTCCCGAGAGGGGATCGAGGGCCTAAACCAGGTGGTGCCGCGGCCGGCTCAGCTGCCGCGATTCTTTCCAGCTCAAGTCGGACTCGGTCAACGTGAGTTTTCAACTTGCTGTGTCTGATCTTGTCCTTGAACATGCGACCGGTACAGAGTTTACATAGCCACTGTCCGGTGTGGGACCCAGCCGTGGAAAGTATAAAGTCTACGGAAAGACCATCAAAACAAAGGGTGGGATTCAACGTAGAACGTAGTGCAAAGATCCGCGGCTTAATGATTCTCACATTCGTCAGAGCTCGCTTGGGCTGGGGAAATCAAAACGACAGGCATCTTGATTTATTGTATACTGTGATTGTGATTGGTCGAGCCAAAGGCTATCGGGAATCAATGTGGGAAGTAAGTAACGCTTTAGGAGAGTCAAAATTATTTTCAAGTACAGTGGGTAAACCCGAGTACGTGTTCCGACCTGCCCTGCAAAATCCAATTTCACCTTTTGGGGCAATGTCGGGGCACTCAATCTGAATGTTTGAGACTGGCACCCAGACCATTGAAAAGGTATTGCTTTGATGAATCTAGGAATATGGTTTTGGAGACCAAAAATATGATTTTACTCTTTTAGGGGTTTGGATTTTCGGACCTAGGCCTCAATTAGGTACCTAGCTAGCTACTTAGCAACGCACTAGGCCCATAATTTGATGAATATGGTGGCTCAAGTGGCAAATAACCTCCAAATTTGCCTTTTTTTGAAAAAAAAACCAAACTTTTGCAACCTAGCACCACCCCTCGACCTTCTTCTCCCGCCAAAAAAAGCAGAAAAAATGGCAAAAAAATCTCAAAAATTTCGGAACCAAAGCTCTATGCAGGGTGGCTTGGAACACGTACTCGGGTTTACCCACTGTAAGTCTCGATTTGCGTCAAGATCGAGTGTTCATGGGATCATGTGGGACTTGGACTGGTCTTCTGACATGTCCGGTTTATTTCCATGCAGCGGGGGAACACTTCAAGCGGTTGGGAGATCAAGTGTTTGGATACTGTTTGCATCACATTACGATCGCTGGCACGTGAGAACCATGATAGGTTGATGTTGAACTGGCACCTGTGGCATACAGATCCTCTGGTGAAACACCGAAGAAAAAGAGAAAAATACATACGGTATCTACGGAAGCCCTGAGCGGGGGGGGTGTGACACACACATCACACACAAAAAACACACCAAAAATAACAAAACACAACACAACAAACTACATATTCTACAACTATTGTTCTGAATGACCTTCACATTTCAAACATCCACCTCATACACTCTCGATCCCAAGCTCAACTGGCTAAGCAATCCATCAATTCACAATGATAGCACTCTAGAAACGATGCTATCAACCATACCTATAAGCTCCAGCTCATGAAGGAACACCAAACTCCAAGCAATCCTTGGTTAAAATCAATCAAAGCACTAGGAGCGTGAGTGGCTTGCCTCTGGTCATCTCTATTCATCTCAGTCTAAATTTCAAGTCTTCAAATCAAATTAACATTGCATATGGCTTATCATCATCTTCTCTGTGGATTCCGTGGATCGGACTACCATTTTAGTGTTGATTGCATTCTTTGTAAGGCTCTTTTGTTAATACACACTATTTGTTCATACAAATCTAGACTCCTAACTGATTGAATAAGAATGGGTTTAGTGTATTGAATGTTTTAAAATTATGACAAATAAAAAAGAATAGAAACACATAAGACAGCTTGACGGTTTAACTATATGAAAAACATTGCAATAAAAAAATAATTTTACGTAACATGATAGAATCATGATGTGAATAAATTATTGATGTCATGAGGATAGAAAAACAGAAAAGAAAAACACTAGATGTTACACATTTTCAAAGATAGATTTAAAAGCAAAAAAATTATTGTAACATCTTGTAGATAATTCCAAAACACTGTTACCTATATATTCAACCCCATGTTCCGTGTTCCTCACTCAATATTTTTTTTTCTTTCTTACCCGCTTCAAACCTATAAAGTCAGATTAATACCTCCAAAAACCTATAAAATCATATTTATACCTTCAAACACCTCTCATCATGTCAGATCAACCTACCTGCCAGACAGGTCCTTGTTCTAGTTGCAGTTGTGTTTTCATCAATCGAGTCAACGATCCATGTGGTGCATGCGACGATCAACATCAAAGTGAGGCTACTGGTATTCCAGTGCCAAAAAAGGTTTACTGTCATCATTGTGGTGTTGGATATCCACGAATGAAGGAAGATATTTGCTACCCTTGTAAACAGATATCAAATTCAACCCCTGCTCCTAGTCCTCATCCTAGTCTACTTCTTCGTCACGAGTTGAATCAATCCTTGAACCGAGTCAATAGCTCTCCTGTCCATACGAACACCTCTAGTATAATGGCTGAGATTGATGAACTTGCATCAGATTCTTACCAAAGTGCTTCTCACCGCCGAAAACTTGGGACGAACATCCGCAACTCACTCACTGTTGGAAAGCAAAAAATAACTAATTCAAAATTCAATGATACGTTGTCACGAACTCAGCCCCGACTTCCCCTTGGACAAGGATCTCATGTATTATCTTCCTCCAACCGAAATTCTTCAATGATACCAGCCAATGTTCAATCAAAGCCCAAAGTCCAATTTGTTCCAATACGATTTGTCTACCAGTTCAGCAACAAATCAATTGAACATGGGCTTGGTTCTATTACACAGAGTGTCGACTTCAAGGATTCTTCATGGTTTACTAAATTAGCAGAAGATGCATATAATTTCTATAGTGAAAAAGCATATGAACGATTTCCAACCGAAGATCAAACTGAAGATGGGTTTCCACCACTTCCACACTTTGATATTCGATGGGTCCAGTTAGTTCAAGTTACATACAGGTCGGTTGTGGTGTTTTCTTCAGAAGATCATCTCCTGCAAGCGTTCAAAGATCATAAAAAAGCTAGCAACATGGCATGGCTTGGTGTGTTGTTCAATGCAGACGACTATCTTGTGATTCAAGCCAAAGAAAATGAGCTTGTTTGTGGAAGCAAGAAACGAAAAATCAGATACGAATCAGAGGATCCTCATTCTGACACCAATTATCAATACGAAGGGAGTTCCAACAACTTTCGCAAATCAAAACAAAATCGTCTTGACTCACCATCTGACCAGACTGAAGACTATAGCCTACCCAATGATGATCTATCTTGTTCCACCCGTAAATATTTTCTATGCCTACTATAATATGAATTGAAATACAAGGGCTTACTTTTTGGTTTCCAAATAATTCAACAGACCAGGTAATCACTCGAAGTCGATCTAAACTCATGACCAAAAGTGTTGGTAGTGAAACACCAAGCAAAGTTCCTGATGATTCACAAGATTTAGCATTTGACTGTTACACCCGCTCCCTGATTAGCTTCCAAGGTTGGTTAAATTCAATTGAATCTTTTCTTAAATGAAGCTAATTCGTGTTCTTTCAAACAGCAATTAAAGGAATTATTGGGGAACCAGTACCACTCGAAATGATGGATCCTGTAGCCGTTCATCAAGATGCGCCTCAATTTGATCACGGCATTTTTGGAGTTTCAAAGATTCTACGATATAGACTAAATTCATCCAAAGTCAATGACACCAGCTCATGTACCACCTACTCTGTCACTGAAGAAGCAAATTTGGCGTGGATCGAGGTTACAATTGATGCTGCAAGCAAGGCTGTAAATAAAGAAGATCTTTCAGATGACCTAAATCATCAATCATGGGAGGGACGAATTAGTGTTGGCCCTCAAACATTGAGTGGAATGATTATAACACCTTTTTGGGGCTCAGTTTTGACAGACTACGATATTTCCAATCCAATCTATAAACATCGGCTGTTTGGAGAGGGGCAGAGGTTGATACTCAGCTTTCAAAGGAAAGTCAATTGCACCCCAGGTGTTACATCTGAATTAAGAGATATGTGTCTCTCATTGCGAGTAAGTACTTATTTTTCCTTCTGGGACACATGATATGAATCTAACAGATAGCAAATTCAATCCGGTTCATGTCTCAGATGGCTTTTTCTATGTTATTCCAAAGCATTGACAGTTCCTTTGATGCCAAGTTTTTTTTCTGTCAAGAAAAAGGGGAAGAGGAGGAAGAACTATACATGACACCAGCCAATTTTGTCCTAAAAAAACCGTATGAAAATATGCATCAGATAATGCATGCACTCTCCCATTCAAGCTTGGATGACTACGAAGGCAAGGCCGTCATTGTTGTGTTAAAAGGTGCTGGCCAAATTGTCACCGATCTTTCAATGATAAATCTGAAGTTAGTATTTCACCATTTTTAGAGACCTATCACATTAATATTGATATTGTTTTGCTATCATTTGTTTAAAGATGGCCCGTCACAAAAGATAACCAAGGCAAAGCGGCGATCAAGGAATTTCAATCCAGCCATTGCCCACCACTGTGTGATCTGCTTGGCCTCCATAAACTCAATCTACCATATGATACAAATGAAGCTCATATTCTCGAAGATCGAAATGATTTATGATGTGATTGGGAAACGGAGTTCAAAAGATTTCCCTCATTGTGTTCAACTTCTTTATTTTGAATCCTCTTTTCCTCTCTATTTCTTCAAAGTGTAACAAGGCAATGATAATAAAAACATATTTTCAATGCTCTACATTTGAGAGGACATGAATTGAGTACAGAGATGTGAGTAAACAAATGAGAAGGACTGAGATCTTGGTTGTTGTGGACGTACCCAATCGTACCCAATTGCATGAGATTGGATATAAGCATATCCTGTGCCTGAATCTTCTTCAGGGGCCACGTAAGCGATTTCTTTGAAGCTTTCTCATCTCAATCTTTTGGCTATGTCCTCTTCTCCACTCAAATCGACCACCATTTGATCGAATCTCTCTTCAGTAAGTCCTTCAACTGTTCAATATTTGACAAGATAGATTCATGTCTGACTAATCTGTTTTATACTTCATCCATTTCAAACTATTTGATTCTAGTCAAAAAAAAACAAGTCGATTTGAACTGGTATCAATCCATCTCTTTTATTCAAAATCAATCACTTAATCAATTCAAACAACACCTTAAAATTGATTCACATCATTCATCCTTTTGTAGTCAAAACTATTCAATTCTACTCGAAAAAACAAATCGATTTGAATCGCTATCGATCCGTCTCCTTTATTCAAAATCTTTCAGTTAATCGATTCAAACGATATATTCAAATTACTTCACCTTATTCATCCTTTTCTAGTCAAAACTAATCGATTCTAGTCGAAAACAAATCGATTTGAATTGCTATCGATCCATCTCCTTTATTCAAAATCATTCAGTTAATCAATTCAAACGATACATTCAAATTACTTCACCTTATTCATCCTTTTCTAGTCAAAACTAATAGATCCTAGTCAAAAACAAATCGATTTCGATCACTATCAATCCATCTATATTGTTAATCAATCAATCAGGTGATTGATTCAAACCACTTTAGATCCAACTCTAGTCTAGTAATTGGTCAGTCTATCTAGTCTCTAAACCAGTTTGTGTCTTGAAAAAATCCAAATCTAATCACAATTGTTACAATTCTTCATAATCAATACAATGCTTTTAAAAAACAATCTCAATTCTAATTCCTTAGACTTCGATTCTAGTAACATTCCAATTTACTTCACAATCAATACAAATTGATTCCGGTCAAAAAACGATACATTGAAAACGATTGAAATTATTCATCAAATCAGCATGATGTGAGATACTGATTTTCATATTTCTTCATTCTTCCTTTATCTTTCTTTTGTCATGATCAGCAACTAGAGGATAGCAGAGCTCCCACAGGCCAACTTGATAATGGATGGAATTTCATCTTGCATGTTCTATCTTGACATAGTCAAGATGCAGAACTACCTGATGTCTCCATTCCACTATCAAGTTGGTTTCGGACCTTGATGATCGATGGTCACTGCTATAGGTTTAACTGCACTTGTCCTCCCCAAGAATCTGGGTTGGTTTCACGCACCAAATTCTTGTGGGTAGGGCTCGACGCAAGCCTTGAGCGAACCTAATCTTCATTGTTTGAGTGTGGGAGAGTTGTGACACTCAAAAAAAGTTGATATCTGACATGGAAGATCGTTTGATTAATTTTTGTTGTTTTTTTATTCCGCATAAGTAATAAGAAATATAGATCCCCTGCACAGAAACGTGCTCGAACGAAATTTATTACTAGTCAGATCGAAACTCGGGTTGCAATCAAGAAAAGTAAAATTGTTGCACGATGGGTTGCTTATAATACCCCACAACCTCCATCTTCTGATCCACCCTTCAAGTTGAATCGCGCTCAAAACCGAGCACGCATCAGAGCTGAATTTAAACAAAAAATCCGTGATCGGTTTGGCCTCCCCAAAGATGCTACCTTTGTCTTCCGAACTGAGCATGGTGGACAGGCCCTTTTGTCGCTTTCGTTTGGTACAGTAGTTATACTTAATAACTATGGAACTAAACTCCTAGCGGTCGTCCGATTCAACAAGCGAGAATATACAGGAAAGCGGTTGAATAATGGAAAGCTGAAGCGAGAACTTACACCTGATTGTGCCAAACTATTCGACAATTTTAAAAACTCAATCATGACCTTGTATCAACATGCAACAGCCCGCTATCGCTGCTATACTAATGGTGCAGCTGAAGGTCTGAAGCATATGAAATCTGGTCAGATGTTTGTAGTGGGTTTTCGTGGTGGATACCGAAAGAAAAAAATTGGAGGTGCGTAGTTTCTCATTTTTTTCTTTTGGTTTTTAAAATTTTGGTTGTTCATGTATGTTTTAATTTAGGTACCTATGCTCTCAATGCAACAACTGCACGTTCTGTTGCCCGGATGGAAAACGACCTACGCCGCCAGATGTATCTCCCATACATCAACCATTTTCTAGCCGAACGATTTGCCTCCCTATCTATTGGAGCCTTCGAATCCAATTGTCATCGAGCTGCTAAATGTCGCACACCCTCTTGGTCTTCAAAGTCATTTTTCAAATCTCCAAATGGACGGGTCTTTGGGTCAAACTTTGTTGTAACACGTGATGAGTTTGCCAACATGATCCATGTTGATAATGATCATTCTGGTTTCACTTTTGGATTATTTAGCCTTATACATCGTGACACAGGTAAATTATATCGACGTGGAAGGACCTCAAAGCACGGCTACGTCAAAGGTGCTCGATTTGTATTTCCTGACTACAATGTGGAAATTGATTTCGATGAATGTGATGGTGTTGTAGAGATGGTTTGGGCTTCAGATATCAGACACTATAGTACTCACTCCAAGACTTATACACATGATCATCAGCCTATTCCACCGGAAGATGCGAAGATAACTCGATTTGGATCGTCTTGTCAAATTGCAAAAACCATTGTCGCACGCATCAAACTTCTTACTGACATGCAAGGTGACATGTGTGATCAAGAATGGGAGGTATATCGAGAAACATTGGCTGAAAATTATGCAGATGAGTTGGCTCGTAAACTTAAAATGTTAAAAGATAAGAAGCAAAAGGCAGAGATGGAAGAGCTTAAAGCAAAATTGAAATATTTGTAATATCTCTCATTTCATTATTTGTCTCCAACTATCAATAATTGTCCCTTTCACTCCATCTCTTTTTATAAAATGCTACAAGAAATCCAAAAAATATATTGTCTCCCCTATCTTGCCCACCTCTAGTGAAGTGAAACAGAAAATGAAATAATGATTGATGAAGTTGAATTCAAATAGAGTATCAACACAATATAAATACCACAGTGTAAAACTGTTGCCATATGTGGAAAAGCGTTGTAAGAGTCAGAATACTTTGAAATTCATTTCACCTACAGCATACATCCAAAACACACACAACTTGAATTAAGCAGAAAACACAAAAGTCATCATTGACAAGCCATGCAAAGACAATTAGTAGGTGGACAACGGGCAGCAAAAAATAAAAAAAAAAGGACTGTCTTGATAAAAACCATCTGGTGACAAATTTAAGGCTACAAACTCATAAATAAAATATGGACCAGTAAGTCTTTAGATAGTACTATCCCACATCCTCCAAATCGTGCACATAACTGGTCACATGATTCAGTTCCAAATGTAATATTGTAGTCCTTGAATCAACCATGATTATCTCATTCAAATTCTTGATCAGACACTTGATTTTCACCTTCTTCTACATCTATATCCTCACCTTCAAAATAAAAGAAATTATCCAAAAGAATGTCCTCCTCATCTATGTCCTCCTCGTCCTCCTCATCTAACGGTACTAGTGGATAAAGCTCTTGAGGATCTCCTCCCGCTTCTAGATTGTCAAGATCCAAGTCCATTTGGACTATCACTTCATGTAACTCTTCAAACAATGTCCAGACGGAGTTGATGTCAAGATCATCGGTGGTCCAGCCTAGCTCGCGGATGGTTGAATTGAGTAGATCATCGAATGGTTTTGGAGATACAACAAAAAGATCTTCGCGATCAGGATAAAACTTGTCCATCATTCTTTGTATAACTTCGTCTGGTACAGGAGTAAGCCCTTGCTGTCCATCATAATGCTCTGGAGCAAAATAGCACACATCAGCCGGTACACCAGTTGGAAGAGCAGTATTGGTGTTTTTGCGTGTTCGGTATGAGTTTTTTTCATCAACATACTCATCCATCATGTGTTGAACAAGCGGAACCCATAGATGCAAAAAGATGGCCCTGTTTGAGAAAATATATCAGTATTCAAATGAATTAACTAAAGTTGAACAGGAAGACTTACCGTTGGAGTCGATCTCCTGGGTTGTAGCGTCCTTCATCAATAGCTTGTTTGATGTTTTTACGAATTGAAATATTTTTGGCCTTCATTAGCTGTGACCATAGAGCCTCAATTTTCTGATTATGTGGTGATGTCGTAAAGATGTGCATTGCTTCAGCTTCTTCCAAAGTCAAATTGCGGAAAATGCGTGATAGTGTCATCTGATGAGCTGCAATATCCAAAAGTTTTCGGTTCCCGTGATCAGTCGAGGTTTTTTTGAGGAAAAGCCCCCCACAGGCTTTGACCCGTCTCAAGGGAAATAGATTCCAATTTCGTCGAGGGTCATTGTTGTTGATGCCCCCCCTTCAAAGCTGAGAATTTCGACGTGACCATGCATCAATGAACCCCATAAAATACAAAATTCCAAAAGGTTTGAGTTTATTGTGTCCATCACTAGCCCCAAATCTTTATTTGGGCCCAGCCCACCCCGATATACTCTCCTCTTGAGTCGATGTTTCTTC